GGTCGCAGGAGAAACTCCTGCGGTATACGCGGAGGTAGAAGGCACCTCGCTACCGACTCGTAAGCGACCCTACCGTAATTCGTCCCCAGACAAAGATCGCGACGAACTATAAAGAGTAATACGTACAGTTAAGCCTAAACTCTTTACGAGCAAGTCTATGCAGTAACTCCACGCCTTCGATAGTGGCTGGCAGACGATCTTCGAGTCGCTAGCGAGCGACGTAGTCCCGGACTGGCCGTAGCGCATCCGGACCGCAGCTAATTATCTCGAGGGCCGCGCCCTTGACGAATGGCGACGAGACCGGCGGGAAGGAAACCCCATCCCGCTGATATAGGACCTCTTTATCTCGTAGTGTAAGGATATAATCGAAGACGCCGACGTCCGTAAGGGAGAAGCACTCGAAAAGCTGGGAACCCTTAAGTAGGCCGCATCATAATCGGTCAGAGACCTAGTGCATGAAATGATACTGTTAGAGGATGAAGTCGGCCCTCTCACCGAGGACGAGAGAAAGGGCTGGGCACTATTCCACGCTCTAGCGCCCCGCCTACGAGACGCAGTTCGGCGGGACCTTAAGACTATCACGTCGCGAGCCCAGGTCCTCGCTTCGGCATAGAGGCTCGAAACAGTAGTCTCAAAGGAAAGGTAAGCGGAGCGTACGCGGTCAGCGCGCTCTACGCCTACTAGTTCAGGTGGGCAAGCCCAGTCGACAACGCGCCAGACCCCTCGGCGATCAGCCCAGGAACCGCAGGCGAAGCGCGACCGAGAACCGTCTCCCCCCATGAAAAAGGCGAAGTATTAGGTGGGAGCCGTACCTAATACCTTTAGCGGGGAGTGCTACGCCTGCGGCCAGCGAGGACATAAGGAAAAGGATTGTCCACGCCCTAAACCTGTAACCGCCGCCGTAGCGTAGGCGAAGCGCACGGGCGACGCAGGGAAGAATGAGGATAAGAAAAAGCCAAAAAAATAGGACCTAGCCTACTAGGCGCCGTAGCGGCGCTAGGTCTAGATCCGGCGAAAATCTTAAAGTCCTAGGAACTAGGCTAGGGAAATGGATAAGCACTAGTTATGGAGGTAGAAATCTACACCCCTATAGGAGCTTAGATAGCCCGCGCGCTACTTAACAGCGGGGCGGAGAAGAGTTTCATATCCTACCTCCGGGCGGTAGAGTAGCGTCTACCTAGCGAAAGGGCGGAGAGAGGCGTACGAACCATAGGCGGATAACCGCTGGAAGTTTATAATGAGCACTAGGTTGATACCTAGGTTAAGGACGCCCTTAGAATAGTTAAGATGAAGAAACACCGATACCTAGCGGTTAAGCTCGTGGAGTATGACCTTATCCTAGGCTATGACTAGCTAAAGGAGGTTAACCCAGACATCAACTGGGAATCGAGTGCGTGGTACTATCGAGACGTACCCGAACCGTAGGTGTCAATAGTAGGCGCTAAGAGACTCTTAAAGGAGGCGAAGGACGCTACCATTAGCCTCCTCTAGGTACAGCTAGCCCCCTTAGAGGCGTAAAGAGGCGCAACCGTTACGCTTACGGGACTTACGTAAGAGCCCCAGTTACCGCCGTAGTTTACGAAGTTCGCTACGGTATTCGGAGACCCGGACGAAGACCCAGCTCCTTCCAGGACGAAGGTGAGGTATTTCATCCCGCTTAAAGAAGGGCAGACAGTACCCTACGGGCCTATATACCCTTTAAGTGCGAAAGAACTGCGAGTCCTACGCGAATATATTGAGACCGTAATAGGTCGAGGATGGATTCAGCCTAGCGAGTCCGGGGTAGGCGCTCCAATCCTATTCGTACCTAAGAAGGATGGTAGCCTGCGACTCTGCGTCGATTATCGTAGGTTAAACCGAGTAACTAAAAAGAATCGATACCCCTTACCTCTCATCCCTGAGATCCTAGATCGACTTATCGGGGCTAGGGTATATACGAAGCTAGACCTGAAGGACGCTTATCATCGCATACCTATAGCGGAAGAAGACCGCTGGAAGACTACGTTTCGCACGCGATACGGGCACTTCGAATATCTAGTTATGCCCTTTAGATTAACGAACGCGCTAGCATCATTCTAAGCCTACATTAACGAGGCTCTTAAGGGTCTCTTAGACGAGGTCTATATCGCGTTTATAGATGATATCCTAATATTTAGTCCAGATGAAGCCGTACATGAAGCGCATGTGAACCTCGTGCTGGAACGCCTAAAGGAGCATAGACTATACGCGAACTTATCGAAGTGTAAATTCTTCACTACGGAGGTGGACTTCCTAGGTTTCTACGTGGGAACCGTAGGAGTATCGATAGACTCCAGTAGGGTATCCGCGATATAGGAGTGGCCAGTCCCTAAGACCTTTAGAGATATCTAAGTATTCCTAGGGTTCGCTAACTTCTACCGAGGGTTTATCTACCGATATTCCGCGGTAGTAGCCCCCATCACGGATCTCTTAATAGGCATAAAGGCAGGGAAAAAGACTGGAACTCTTACATGGACCGAGGAAGCGGACGCTGCGTTCCGCACGCTGAAGGCGCGCTTCTCGGAGGCCCCTATGCTAGCGCATTTCGATCCTGAGCGAAGGAACAGGGTCGAAACGGATGCCTTAGGCTAGGCGCTTAGGGGAGTGCTGTCCTAAGCGTACGAGACGTAGGGGGGACGCACGCGATGGCACCCCGTAGCGTTCTACTCGCGGAAGATGACTCCCGCGGAGAAGAATTACACTACGGGGGATGCGGAAATGCTATCGATTGTACACGCATTTAAGATATGGAGACATTACCTTGAATCGCCTGCGGAAAGCACGATAGTCCTCACTGATCATGAGGCGCTTTAATACTTTATAACTACTAAGGTCCTAAATCGACGGTAGATGCGTTAGGTAGAGGTCCTAGCGGCATACGACTTCCTGATTTAGTGGAGGCGCGGAAAGGATAACCCCGCGGATGGGCTCTCCCGCCGTCCTAACTATATAGTAGAGGAAGAACAACCCGTAGTGAATGCTCTTGCGGAGCTACTGCGATTACGCATGCCTCTCGTAGAGGATGCGCCTAAGGGTCGTATAAGGCGCGGCGGCGAAGTCATCGTTGACGTTCTCATCCGAGCGGAGACTCGGAGGCGATCAGGTCCTGAGGAGAGTGTATATAATGTTATAACACTACCTACTCCCGAGGTAGAGGAAAGGGTAAACCTAAGCGGGTAAGAGGCGGCTAACCTACGGACGCGTAGAGAAGCGCTTACGGACCGTATAAGAGAATTATAATTACTTAATGAATGGTACTAGGACGCTCCGTAGAAACGGGAGCTAAATAGACACATTAAGAAGGGCGAGTTCTCTAGTACCTAGAGTATCGATAAGGATGGGCTAGCGCGTCGCGGGGGCTACGTATACGTCCCGCATGATCCTACAACCCGGGGAGAAATCCTCTAGGTTAACTATGATGATCTATGACAGGGCGGGTATTTTAGCGAGTACCGGACGGTAGCGAATCTTATGCGACACTACTAGTAGCCGTACATGCGTCGCGATATATAAGAATATGTCAAGATATGTGACGTATGTTAACGAATGAAAGTGTTAAGGTAGAAGCCGTACGGGAAGCTCTAATCGTTACCTATACCTAAGGGTCCCTAGTAAGATATTTCGATGGACTTTATTATAGGCTTACCGCCTTCGTTATATAACGGGATCGCCTACGATTCGATACTAGTCATCGTTAATAGGTACTCGAAAATGGTAATCTTCACACCCTATGTAAGTATCATTAACGCTTAAGGCCTAGGCTAAATAGTTCTAGAAAAGGTAGTAGCGAAGTATAGCGCGCCTAAATTAATAGTTAGCGATAGGGGGTCTCTATTCACGTCGACGTAGTTTAGAACCCTATGCGACTACCTTACGACTCGCCGCCTATTCTCTACCGCTTTCCATCCGCAGACCGATGGTCAGACGGAGCGTATAAACTAGATACTTAAAGTGTACCTACGTTACTATGTGAACTATAAGTAGACTGATTAGGCTACGCTACTCGTAAGCGTAGAGTACGCGATGAACGCAGCCTATAGTGTAACTACTAGTAAGACTCCGTTCTCCTAGGTACTAACGTTCGAGCTAGATATACATCTTAACATATAGGAAGTAACGCCTTAGAATGAGCTCGCGCGGGACCGGGCTAACCAGCTCGCGGACTCCCTACTATAAGCCGGCGAGGCGCATAATATAGCTGAGCGGTAGATAATAAAAATGGCTGAACATTACGATAAAAAGCGAACGGAGATATTCTTTAACATTAGGGATAAAGTCATGGTCTCCTCGAAGAATATCCGTATACTACGCGTAAGTAGAAAGCTTACGGATTAGAACATCGGACCCTTTACAGTCCTGGAACGCATTAGGAGGAATGCCTATAGGTTAGACTTACCTAAGAAGTATAGTTAACTATACCCTACATTCTACGTATCCCTACTATATACGTATCGCCGGCGGCCCGGGAGAGAAACCCCCGAGCCGGTTAACATCGACGACGAGGAGGAATGGAAAGTCGAGTAAATCCTCGCTATAAGAGAACAATAAGGAAGACTAGAGTACTATGTCCGATGGAAGGGGTTTAGCGAGGCCTACGATAGCTGGGAGCCTAAGGAGTACCTACGGAACGTACGGGGGAAGCTGGACGAATTTCGTCGAGAATAAGTATAGGAGTGGAGAATAAATTATCATTTCTAACGGCTAAGGCTATGGCGACCCGTATACGGATCTCTTACGCCTCGCACGAGTAAGGTAAAAAACACATGTACGAACTGATGAATGGCCGGCTTACGCTCTAACGCTCGGAGGCGAATCTACTGCGGCACGAAACTCCGATTCCCCTAAGGGAGCCTAAGCCGAAGCGTACGCGGAACGCACGCGACTTAAGGGCGATGCCTCCCTAACACCCGACTAACCACCCGTAGGGAGCTTACTCCGCATCGGAGCCCGAATCCTCGTCGGGCTATACCCGAGCCTCCAAGTTATTCTAAAATTGTCAGCACGCGAATAGGGTGCGGGAAGCGTGCGGTACGTACTACCTCCCGGTAGGAGTCGACCGCGGCCCGTACGGCGTCGATGAGGTGGGCTAAAAGGGGTTTAAGCTGGCCGCCGCTAGCACCCGCAGCACCCGTACTAGAACCGCGGGCGGAACGTACACGGCCCCTAATAGCAAGACCACCCGCCGACTTACGGGCCACGTCGGTCTCGACGAGCCGGAGCTCGGCGTCGATGGCGTCGGCCTCGCGCTGGATGGCGGTAACGGCGGGCGCGCCATCCTCGCCCCTCGCGTAGGCGAGGTTGGCGGCCTATAGGCTATTCATACGCGAAACGAGCGAAGGAGGAATCTGAAATTGTCAGCCTACGGCACGTATACGGACCGCATAGGACTCACCGGTACGTAGCCTAAGCGGCTACCGCGCTTACCCTTACTGTAATAAGAGCAGTTAGTAGAACGACGACCCGTCTCGGTCATAAAAACACACTCGATCTCCCGCCCCGCCGCATCGCCTACGGCCCGTAGGCGGCGTAGGTAGCGGTAGTAGTAGGAGCCCTTAGCCTTCGCCGTCTTAGCCCGCTTAGAGGGAGAGGGGGCGGGGGGCGCATCGTTAGGGACTACATCATGAGTCAGTAGCGAACCGCATGCGAATCGCATAACTTACGGGGGCGCCGTAGAGGACGGTTGTCCCTAGGATCCTCGGCCCTACCGCCGGCAGCGACCGGGGTCGCGGGGCGATCGGTAATGGGGGTAGTAGGGGCAGCAATGGCGGCAGACACTATAGCGGTTAGTACGCGGACCGCAACAGTCACCGCAGTACATACTATTAGAGGAGTAGGAGAAGAGCTTGAATTATAGGGACTGCGACACGAATGTTAGCCGCGGCCTCCTCGCATGCGAATCCGTCGAGGATCGCCGGAACTTACTCTAATAAGAGGGCACGAGAGTAGGGAGCTTCACTGATTGTCAGCATATGCGTTTCGCATACGGAACGAAGGGGAAAAGCACTTACATGGTGGTTATTGTTGTAGTTGTTGTAGATAAGAAGGAAGAAGGAAGAGAAAACGAAAACGAAAGGAAAATAACAATAAAGGGCCACTAGTACGATGCGACGGTGAGGTCTACTAGACCCATATTAATAATGGTCGAGTACGGCTCGCACGCTGTACGCATGCGGCTACCCCTTCAACAGTACGGAGACACGAACGGTATGAGGCCTACCTACAGGACACCCCTAGGGGCATGAGGACGCCGCCTAGGGATAGGCCTACTGCTATGGGAATCAATTAATCTATATTTACGGAGCGTAAATGGAGGATGCGACGACGAGGTTGAACAGATGCGGACCGTACGCGACCCTCAAGATGCTGTAAAAATTATGCGAGTATGCGAGACGCCTACGGTACGCGGGAGGGGAATCCCTAGAAACTTCTCGAGGACGAGAAGCTTAGGGGGGGGATAATTATCACGAACCGCTAAGCATAACCCACACGTGACAGCCCCTTATTATTTAAGCACCGCATGCTCACCGCCTGAGGGAAGCTTCCTTCCCTTATGCTTTGAGTTTCAGTTAAGATATACTATTAAGGAATACCTATACCTACCTGTACCCATCGCTACCCTCTGCCTATCTCCATAGGCCGTTCCTGACAGGTCGGGCCTTGACGACTACTAAACTAGCGAGTACCATGAAGATCTTCCTATGGAAGACAGTGACAACGACAACGATAATGATGGCGAGCCGGAGGGCGACAGTAGTAATGATGATAACGATAATGATGGCGAGGAGGGCGTCGACGACATGGATGTCTTTAACTAATCGATAGGTGTTAGTCCTATTCTCTTTCCTGTTTCCTACTTCTTTCGCGCCTTATACGCTTCTCCCTACTACTGGCAGCAGGGTTTTAGTAGGCTTCTCGCCTCCGTGCGAGAGAAATTGAATGAATCATTTCCATTGTTTTCCTTTCTTATCCATTTATCCGATCCGTTCTAGCAGTTCTGGAGATAGATTCTCTGCGGGTTAGTACGAGTCTTCCTCGGGCCTATACCCTTTCTACCTGAGTAAATACTGCTTTTCTCCACCTTTCATCGTACGAGAACCTAGTATCTCCTCTACTTCATAAAATTAGTCGCCATCGATATCCTCCGGCTCTGGCGGCACCTGACCGGGTCGGACATGAAACGGTTTAAGGAGCGAGACGTGAAACGTCGGATGTAAACGCTAATATTTCGCAGGAAGTGCTAAACGGTAGGCATTCCTTCCGACCTTCGTAAGGATACGGAAAGGCCTCAGGAACTTATCAGTAAGCTTCACGCTAGGTCTTCGCGTGCGAATATTACGCGTTGAGAGCCGCACGAAATCGTCTTCCTTAAATTCGATGGCCTTGCGGTGGCGATTGTAAAACTATTCGGTGGATTATTGAGCTTTCTACTAGAGGTCCTTAGCCCATTCTTCTGCTTCTCGGTTGCGATTAACTGTCGCTCGAGCTTGGACATTCTCGTCCGGTTGCTCTTCTCTTACTATATTCATGCGTGTCGTTAGCGGGTAGCGATGATATACCTGAAATGGGGACGTCCTAGTTGTCTAGTTAACCGCGTTATTAGAAGTAAATTCGGCTCCGGATAATAAGGAAGCCTAATCGTCTTAAGAATAGTTAATATAACAGCGTAGGTACGCTTCCAGCGTTTAGTTTATCCGCTCCGTCTGCCCATCTATTTACGGGTGATAGGACGTAGATAGGCACCTACGTATAGTAAGCTAGTAGCAGAAGGTTCCCCAGTATCTGGATGTGAATAACGAGCCTCTGTCGCTTACGATCGATCGAGGAACGCCCTATTTAGATACGATCTCGTCGTCGAATAACTGCGCTAACTCGGATACCTCGATATCTAAGTAGTATAGGATGAATCTGACCATCTTGGAATATCTGTAGACCACCACGAAGATCGAGTCGCACGCCTTTCGCTTGCTCATCGACGGCGGTAAGCCTATAATGAAATCCATAGTCAGGTCCTGCCATGGCCGATCGGGTTGTAGTAACGACGCTAACAATCCGTACGGCTTATACCTTGGTACTTTCATTCTCTAACAAATACTATAGGTCGTCACGTAATCTCTAATGTCCTTAATCATTCCTAGCCACCAGTAGAACCGCTGTATCGTCTCGCGCGTTCTACCTTAGCCGAAATGGCCCCCCTACTATAGGTCATCGTAATTCACTCTCAGAATTTCGTTCCGTATGGCGGGGTCCTCTAGAATGTACACTACGCCGTTGACTCGTACAATTCCAGTAGGGTCAACGCACTACTTCCCCTTGTAGGGTAGGTCTTCTATTTTACCTTCGGGAAGGCCTTCCTAGGTCCGGCGGATACACTATTGATCCCCGGCCTATAACTCTCGGATTTAGTCTTCTAAAGACTTAGGGATCGACGGAGTTTCTTCATGAGACACCGAAGAGGATTCCTTACGCGCGTTCCTCTTCCTAGGAGCCTGAGACTCGTATACTGGAAGCATAGTATTCCAGCTACTCTCTTCCGGAACGTACCTTATTCCGCGAGTCTGAGCTCTCGTCAGCGCACTCACGTAAAATAGAGAGGCTTTAGTTATGATTACATTAATTAATTCTCGTAAGCGTAAAGTAATCAAATCGCCGAGGGGGTTCCCGAGTTCCTCCTTTACGACGTAATCTAGACGCCTTAAAAGGCCGTCCGCAGGGTTTTCTTTGCCCTTTCGATAGCGAATTACGAAATCAAAGGGTGCTAGGAGTTCCGCCTACCTAGTTTGCCTTCGATCCAGTGCCTTTATACCTATAAAGCTCTATAGCGTAGTATAGTCAGTTAGCATAAGCGTACTAACAGCAGGCGCTTCGAGGAAGTGTCTCCATTCCTTAAAAGCACGTATAATCGCTAACATCTCTTGATCCCCCGTGGGATAGTTTCGCTCTACCTCATTCAGCTTCTTTAAGTAGAAGGCTATCGGACGCCATTCTTTCCTTATGCTGTTCGTAGGCGACTCGTGCTCTTAGGAGAGGATGCCGCTTACGGCTGATCCTGAGGCATCAGTTTCAAGCTTCATCGGCTTGTCATTCTCGAAGTGGGAGAGTATCACATTGTACTTAAAGCGTGCTTTTAGCTGCTCAAAAGCAAGCTGTACCGCTACTGTCCACTGGAATGGTCCTGATTTCTTGCCTTTTACCATCCCTTTAAGTAGATCTATGATAGGCGCTACTATTCTCGAGTAGCCCTCGATGAATCCTCGGTAGAAGTTTATAAAACCTAAAAAGACCTGGATCTCGCGGTAGCTCTTTAGCACCGGCCAGTCTCGGATTACTTCTATTCTACTAGGATCTATCTAAATGCCTACTACGCCTACGCGGAATCCGAGGAAATCAACACTCTCTATACCGAACTCACACTTAGAGAGTTTTACGAAGAGTTTATATTCTCTCAGCTTTTATAGTACTTGTCGCACGTGTTTAGTATGCTCTTTCGGGTCTCTACTGAATACGAGGATATCATCCATGTAAACAATGACGAAATCGTTAAGGTACTCCCTCAACGCTTCGTTTATGTACGCTTGGAACGTTCCTGGCGCGTTTAAGAGGCCGAAAGGCATCACTAAGTACTTAAAGTAGCCGTAGCGCGTGCGAAAAGCAGTCTTCCAGCGGTCCTCCCGCTTAATCGGAATCCTGTGATATACATCTCGCAGATCCAGTTTCGTGAAGACTTTCGCACCTGATAAACGATTAAGTATCTCGCTGATTAGTGGAAGAGGGTAACGATTCTTAATCGTTATCTTATTGAGACCTCTATAGTCTACGCATAACCTAAGGCCTCCGTCTTTCTTCCTCACGAAGAGGATCGGGGCACCCGTAGGCGACTCGCTAGGTTATATCCAGCCCTTCGCACTAGCCTTATTAATATATTCCCGAAGGACAGCTAATTCGTTTCCACTGAGAGGGTAAATAGGGCTAAATAGCACCTTAGCCCCTTCCTCAATAGGGATAGAATGCTGTACCTTCGTGTACTCAGGTAGGATCGATGAATCCGGTTCTTCGAAAACATCGGCGTAATCTCTTACATGTTCTAGGATTGTTGCCCTAACCCTATTGGGAAGGTTAGCCGAAGAATTTCCACCGCGGCACACAACAAAACTGTAAAACGCGCTAGATAGATTTCCTTGCCTAATCAATCAATCAATTCATTCCACTTACAGGTTATGAGCGCCTAACACGCTTTATACGCGTTGTTTTCTTTATCATCGACTTGATTCCTAGGTCGTCCTTTACTGGAATGGTCCAGTAATAACCTAGTCCACAAGAAACCATCGATTTTGGGTGGATTTGGCCGCAGACGCAAGGGCGTGCTATGGAGGCTGCGAGACAGCGACAAACCAACCAAAACGAGTTCAAAAGGTGTTCTGAAGGAACAACCTATCCTATCCTTTCATCGAACGAACGGTTATCGATTCAGGACCCATCGACGGCCTAAATTCCACTCTCCTGTCGCGCTGACAGGGATATTCGGCCGCGGGCCAATACCTATTCGATCCACTAGAACTACGCTTTAGTTAGCGTATTCCACATAATGGGGGGGTTCAACAACGGCGGAAAGAATCGCCTAATCTTGCAGGGCAAGTCCAACTACGCAGTGTAGTTACCAGCATGTAAAATGGAACTACGGACGCAGGAATGTCATAATGTAATAATACGCTCAGTGCTTATACATCTAGACGAGATGGACAGCAACTTAAAGAGAAAGCTTATGGACGACTTCCTAGCACGTAAGCAAACGCGACCTAAGAAGGGCTTTACGAAAGAAGAGCTTGAGGTAGCCTATCAGGATTAGGTCATCCCGGAGATTAAGAAGTTTAACGTATAGGAGGTAGTGAATTCTAAGGCACAAGGGATCATTTACAATCTCTATAGTAATTACATTAAGCCACTCATTATCCAGGAGAGGACAGCAAAGGGTGTCCTAGCGAAGCTCAAGAAGGCTTATAAGTAATAGGGTCTTGCGGTAGTCTTTCATCAGACGGTTCTACTCAATAGTTACTCTCTTAAACGGTTTATAACACTCGAAGAGTATGTCAACAAGTTGCGAACTAACCGCGCAAGTTTCGAGGCGCTTAAACTCGACTTTACCGATGACGTCTAGGTGTCTATCTTCCTAAATGAATTAGGAGAGGATTATGAGACGGCAGTCTCTCGGATACTTAACTTATTAAGAGGAAAGGTAACCTTTAACGACGCCGTTAAGAAGATCTTTCAGTATGATATGCGGAGGGCATCATAAGCAACTGGATCTGAACACTCTAATCAGGCTAATGCATTCAAGACACAGTCGAAGGGTCAATTTAATAGCTCCGGTAATAACAAAGGCAAGAAGAATAACACTAATAATAACCAATCTAAAGGGAAAGATGGAAAATGGGCTTGCCGAACACACCAGACCAATGATCATGCATGGAAGCACTGTTTTTCCAATCTAGATCGTGTCGATCGGGAAGAACAGTCACAGAGTCACAAGAAGGACAAAGGAAAGGAAAAGGCGAATGTAAATGCTTCGATAATCGACCAACTAATCCCGGAATTCATTGAGAGGATTAGGAATGAAGCCGGTAGACGAGACTCTCCTAGAGATGGGGGGGTAGAGGCGAATCAGGCCTATATCTACGCCGTTGCTACCTCGGAAGTCGCTATCTGTGGTGCTAAAGAAGAGGGCTTTCTCTTAGATAGTGGCGCCTCCCACTATATAACTTATTCAAAAGCGAATTACATTAACTACCGAAAAGAGGAGATGATAGCACGATTAGTAGATTACAGCGAGATCGTGTCCGAAGGCTGTAGCGATGTCATTATCGATTGCGAACGAGACGGAGTTACAATGCCAGTTCGATTCGATAACGTCTGGTATTTTCTAGACCTCGGCGTGAATCTATTGAGTATTCGGGCCCTTAAGGAACAAGGATTCGTTGCTATTCTCGAGGAGATTCCTAACCTGATTGGCACTGGCCTTTACAAAGGTAAACGACGGGTTGCGAGCATTTAGAGAGATGGAAGGAGATACCTTCTCGATATGAAGAATAGCGTCTCGCCTCTGGTCCAGGTTCATCGGGACGATTCGATCAATGCTTTAGCTATGAAAGGCGGCGAGACGGCGAGACTGTGGCACCGACGAATGGGCCACCTGTCTCTTAAATACCTTAATCGACTTAAGAAGGTTGTAACAGGCATCGATTTCACTAATTCATTTGGTAAACCCTGCGAGGATTGCATTCTAGCGAATTAATCTCGTGCACCAAGAAGAGGAGTAACGAGCGGATCGGTAACGAGGCTAAATAAGCTGATTCACACCGATCTAGCAGGACCAATCACACCGGCGTCGATTACTGGCAGTAGATATGTCATGACTATCACTGACGACTACTCCAGACGAGTAGTACTCTATTTTCTCAAGATAAAGGCCGAGGCGGCGACCTAGATGAAGCATTACATCGCGAACGCTGTGAACACTAATTTACTAGTTATTACTGTTCGTGTTGATAACGGTAGTGAATACGAAGGCTCTAACTTACGTAACTACCTTAAATAGGCCGGAATCTATCAGGAACCTACCGTACCATACAGTCCGGAGTTAAACGGCGTTGCGGAACGTCTCAATCGAACGTTGATGAGTAAAATGAGATCGATGCGGAAGGACTCAGGATTACCTAAGTATCTGTGGGAGAACCTATTGCAAACGGCGGCTTATTTACATAATCGCAGTCTAAACAGATCGATTAGATTCATGACACCATTTGAACGTTTCAATGGTAAACAACCGGATCTCAGTCATTTACGAATAGTTGGCAGTCGTGCCTTCGTTCATATACTAAAAGAGAAGCGATAGGGTAAGTTGGCAGACCGTTCTAAGCCTTGTATCATGGTTGGTTACGGAGCGGCCTCTTTAATTTACTGGGTATTCGATCCTGAGGAACGTAGAGTGTTTCGGTCCAGAGATGTCATCTTTGATGAGGATT